CATGACTTCAAATTCAACCAAACCAACTAAAAGTAGCCTAGACTTTGCCAGTTTGCCTACTGCCCTGGCCAGTGGCCACACGACAAAATGAAAATAATCTAATAATAGATTTTAAGCCCTGCCTTTCCTAAGTTTCCTTGTTATTTTAACTTAAAGATTGAACTGTAAAAGACAATTAATAATAATAATTAGATGATTTTAAATTTTAATCAAAAAATCCAATTGTTTTGGAACATCAATTGCAGCAAAATTAAAAAGAGTAGGAGAGTAAGGGATTGAGACTGGAAACTGGTACCGGGAATCAATCATGAGGTTTTCACTCTCAGACCCAAAACGATGATCCTGACGATGACATTGACCAACAAACTGTATCACAGATAGTGGCACACGACTCTCAGACTCAATACTTGGAGTGTACATGCGCAGGATTTTCTGAATCTAAATAGAAAAACAAATTAAAAACAACTGCTCAGTAGTAATATTGGTAAGACTTAGAGACCTGTTGCGTGTTTAAATTTGCACAAAATTCGCTAATACATCTAGCATCATCTTGAGTCTCTTTCTTCATCTGCAATAGTTTGGATGCCTGGACAATCGGTTGAAGAGTATCCAATACAGAAGTGAGTTTGTGTTCTCTTATCCATTCCTCAAGGACATTAAGATTGTACCTATGTTTGTTTGATAATCAAGTGACAATGTAAGTATGTAACCTTATTTGCATTCCTGACGTCCAGTGACACAAGTCTTTTCTAAATAGAAGATAATTGAGCATGACTCCATTGATGAAATAAAAAATCTAAAAAATAACAAAACATCTCAATTTTAATAATATCATTATCTTGCCACTGACTTGCTTAAACATTTGTTCAATAAGGTACGTATCAACAAGACACAACTCCAATTGATTTAGCAAGTCATTAAGAAACCTCTCTATATCACCAACTGTCACTATCACTGGCTTTACCATACCAAGCAGTGTTCTTCCCCAACCAACTGGCCTAGCACTAGTAAGACCCGGGATTGACTCATGCTCCAATAAACCAGGAACTACAAATACACGTATTATTATAAGTAATAATGATTCCTTTATTAACCTATAAGTGGCTCTAGTGTTCTCTCCAAATGATTTATTATAAGGTAGTAGATTGACGTAGCCTCGGCTGTAATGAAGTCATGATAGTCCGACAATTCAAAACTAGTCAGACCAGTAATGTCCTTGCAAGGATTGTAATAAACCTGTAGCGGCAGCAAAAATGATTCAAATAATGGAGGGATAACTCACAGGATCACCACTGTACTGTCTCATGGACTGAAGTAGGCAAGTGATATTACCCAACCAATGACACAATAGATTCAAGTTATCTTTGTAATGCTATGAAAGAACATTAATAAAAAAGCATAAGTATAGTGACAGTCTGGAATACCTTAGTCAAGTATTGAAGTGATACAACTGTGCTTTCAATAAGTTGAGTTGTCATTGTATCAGATGAGCAGTGATCAGCATATCTCAAGCACATAAACAGTATATGGCC